TTATTTTGTTTCTTTGAGTTGAGTGGAAAACCACACATGTTCTCATCACCCGAATGCTGGCCACCAGGTGGTATATTTTTCTGGCCACTATAATTCCTAAAGATAACCTAGTAAGGTGAAGAGGAGTTATAGTTTTTGTTGATGGAGGGAGTGGCCCTACCAATTATTTGCAGATCCTTGAAGCAGTGGCACGCGTGCATCTGCATGTTAGGATCTAGAGGTAAGTGTTGTGGAATTTACAAATGTGATTTTAGAAAATTAAATATACCTTGAAATCTTTGGCAAAGCCTGGTTGGTATCAGTATGATACCTACTAAGAACCTCCATATTTGCATATTACAGTGTTAATCAGTCAACAAGCGTTTACTGAATTCTTACTATGTGCCCTATCCCTGGAATTCTGTATAAATTTGGCCCCTCAGCCCCTCAGATGGATACCAGAAGAAACATTCTGCTTCCAGGCAGGATATTGTCTAGGGCACCATTACTGTATCTACTAAAGGCCTGAATCACCCAAGGATGTAACTCAGAATTTGCCATCATCACCACCAAACAACTGATTAGAACTTTGCAACATTAGTTTCCAGGAACTCTTTAATCCCTTTCCTAGGAGTCCTGAGCCCCTAGTTTGAAAAAGCATTTTCTTGTTTTGCATTAACTGTTATCTCTTGCTTTTGTAAATGGTGTCTGGAGGATTGAAATAAAAGGTAGATGTTTTGTGACTTATCATATGATAAGTGTTGATTTCTAGGAAAATAGACTTTTACTGTAAAGGAAAAGCTAAAAGTGTATTTCAGAGAGGATTTAGTAGCTTCAAAGACCAGGTAATCCCAAGGCTTAAATTTAATGTCCTTTGAAAAATAAAGCTATTCTCTCTTATAAAATTAGGACTCTTTCTACCTCTCCCACTCATTCTTTTGCTTCATCATGACCTTTGGACCCTTAATTCCTGCCTAATTCACCCAGCTATCAACTTGTCCCAGCCTTACTTTCTTCCTTACCCCCTCTTGAACTAATCTCAATCAGTCATTCCAGTAAATCCCTCACCTCTACCCTTGAAACTTTTGCCCCTTTGTCCATTATTCCCCCTAACATGCAACCTTCTACAACACCCCCATTCTCCCCTTCCATTCTCATTATTTTGTGGCCAAAAGCTGCTGGAACAAATCATCCATTTGTGCTGAGTGTGTCCACTACAGATTTATGCCATTTAATCTCAGCTGGTTGTTCATCACAATGTAGGGATCTTTTTATTCATGTCTTATTAACTCTCTGATCATATTCCTGACAGTAACCATTCCAAATCTTCACTTTTCATTTTGAGAATCCAGTTCTACCCCTCACTTCTCACTCTTAGCAAATGACCTTACCTCTTACCTTATTGAGAAAATGGAGGTCATCTAACTTTAATATCCTTAAGTCACGTCTCTACTTCTTTAAATCTCTTTATCTTTTCCTGTCTTCTGTGGAGTCTCAAGTAACCTTTTTCTTTATAAAGAGCCGCCTTCCACTTGTGTCCTCAATTCCTTCCCATCACACTTGGGCCCTTGCTCTGTCATCCCTTTTCTTGAATAATTTCAGTTGATCTCTGTACTTTCCCTTTACCTTGATTCCCCCACAAGCTATTGTTCTATCTCATCTCCCCACTTAAAGCCAGACTTCCCGGAAGTGTTGTCTGCTACTCTTTGCTTGTGCTTCCTCATTGCCTATCACTCAACTCTCTGCTAATTATATCTTTCCTCATGACTTTCTTGACATTGAAATTACTAAGGTCAGCAGTGGTTTCCTTGACAAAACCAATGGCCTTTCCTTAGTCTTCATTCACCTTGGTCTCTCTGCAATATTTGGCACTACTTATCACTTTTCCTTGGTATTCTCACATTCCTTTACTTTGGGGACATTTCACACTAAAGAGTCTACTATTCTGGCCCTGCTATTTGCCTTTTGATGGCCTCTTCTCATCTTTAAATGTGAATTTCCTCCAAGATCTGGTCTTTGATCCTTTACATCCTCTACTTTCAAATCTTCATACAATTTCACGATTTCCATTCGAACCTTTTAACCTCCAGTCTCTTCCGAGAATTCCAGCCCTGTACTCCCGGCTGCCTCCTAGATTTCATCTACATGCTATCCCAACTACACCTCTCACTCAACATGTCTAAAATTTATCTAAGGGGCAGCTAGATGGCACAGTGGGTAGAGCACTGGCCCTGGAGTCAGGAAGACCTGAGTTCAAATCCAGCCTCAGACCAAACACTTGACACTTACTAGCTGTGTGACCCTGGGCAAGTCATTTAACCCCAATTGCCTAAAGATTTTTAAAAAAAATAGAAAAAGATAAAATTTATCTTACTGTTTTCTTCACTCCTTCCTTTAAATTCTCTATTTCTATTGATGGCATTTTTGAAATCTGAGAATCATCCTTATCCTTTCTTTCTCTTTCACTTCCCACATGAAGTCATTTTCCAAGTATTATTGGTACTACATCCACTAGATCTCATGAATCTTCTTCCCTCTTTTCCGCTCCCACTGAAACACCCTGATTCAGACTTTTCTTACCTCTTGCCTAGAATGTTATGATTGCCTCCTAACTGATATCCCTGCTTCTAATTTCTGCCCTTTCCAGTCCATCCTGCACACTGTGACTCTTCCCTAATTGTATTCTACCCCTAGTGAAAAACCTTCAGTAGATTCAAATCATCTACTTCTAAGAAAGTTTAAGCTTCTGATCCTGTCATTCAAGGCCCACTACAATCTAACTCTAACCTATTTCTTTAACCTTATTTTATGCCACTCACCCTTTTCTCTATTCTGTGTCTCAGCCAAACTTGATCATTCACTGTTTCCTATTCTCATTTTCCATCTTGTCCCTTCTGTGTCCCGTAGGTGAATGGATTCCTCCCTCTACCATCCACATTGCCACCTTTTAAAACCCTTTATTTCTTTCAGGGTACAATTCAGGTACCTATTTACACAGCTGAGAATGATCTTTCCTTACTGAAATTTATCAAACCACTTTGCTTAAAATTCTGTTTTGAATTTACTATGTATATTCTGCCTTGTATCACAGTATTTTGAGTACATGATTTATTCCCCATCCCCTATTAAATTGTAAGCTCCAAGAAGGCAAGGTCAGTGTCATTCTTTTTTGTAATACCAATACATAATAGGTACTTATTAAATTTCTTCTTAGTTGTACTAGAAGATCTAGTTATGCTAGAAGATGAAGAGCTAGAAGGGACCTTGGGGACTGAATTGACCAGAAAATTTTTAAGGATTTTTCCTCAGTGCAATAGATAATTTTTTCAGGCATATTTATTGGACTAATATGTTATAATTTCTAGATGGATGGCAGCACTGAAACAACTGCACATCTTCATATTTCCAAAGACTTAAAGGAGCTAAATTTGAAACATTCTCCCCTAAATTATGGTCTACTTTCCTACATCTTTTCCCAAGTTCATTCTGACCTTTTAAGAACCTAATGCTCAAAGTTCCCATTTTATTTATTATCCTTTACAGCCCTAGATACTAGAATTGAGATTTTAAACCTAACAATATTCTTTGGTCATAAAACTACCAGTGTGTCCTTCCTTTTAATGTATTCTTTGTGCCTGGAAATAACATATTTCAAAGGTATAGTATGTGATAGAAGATTTAATTGAAATTATACCTGTCCCATGGTAATCTTTTTGTAAAAAAAAAAAATAACAGTAATGAGACAGTAGCATCATAGCTAATTCTGTTAAATATTGTGCCTGAAGCTTTTAAAAAATTAATGATCTATTGCTATATAGCAGAGTGGGAAGTACACAAAATAAACATTTAATATTTCAGTAACTTCTAAATAGAAACAATAATTTCATCTGAGATTTAATATTAATTTTTGGTGAAGTTGAACACAAAAAAGAAGAGAGCCAAAGTGGTGGTGTCCAAGGGATACTGGCAGGAGGAGTTTCATTTTGTAGTATCATTAATGCTTTTAGAAAATGGAAAACATTTTCTAACAGCATTTTTTGTATTCTAAAAAGTCATGTTGTAGAGGGTCAGATTTGGAGTCATGAAGACTGACTTTTGATACCTTTTTTTTTATACCTTTGACACTTACTGGCTATGACCACAAGCAACTCTTCTTGTGGTTGCAAAAATAATTGGAAATTGAGGGGACACCCATCAATTGGAGAATGGTTGAACAAGGTGTGGTATATGAATGTTATGGAATGCTATTGTGCTATAAGAAATGATTAACAGGTGGATTTCAGAAAAGACTTATATGAACTGATGCAAAATGAAGTGGGCAGAACTAGAACATGGTACATAGTAACAGCAGCGCTGCATGATAAACAACTACGTTCCCCTCAACGATACAATGATCTAAGACAATTCCAAAGGAGTACTGATGGAGAATGCTATCCACATCCAGAGACAGAACTGATGAACTCAGAGTGCAGAATGAAGTATACTATTCTTGCTTTATTTTTTGTGTTTTTTCCCCTTTGGTCTATTTCTTTTTCCACAATATGACTAAGACAGAAATATATTTTACATGATTCCACATATATAACCCATATCTAATTGCTTGCTATTTTAGGAAGAGAGGAGGGCAGGGAGGGAGAGAGGAAGAAAAATTTGGGTATCAAAATTTTGTGAAAATGAATGTTAAAAATTGTCTTTACATATAATTGGAAAAAATACTATTTAAAAAAAGAAAAGGGTAGTTAGCACTCTCCATCCCCTGACATTATTTTTACTTATGCAGTGCACCCCCCCCCCCCCAGCATGTAAGCTGCTTGAGAGCAGGCACTGTTTTTCATCTTTGATTTTGCCTCCAGAGCACCTGCTTCAGGGCCTTGCACCATAATAAGCACTCTATAAATGCTTGTTGACTTGAATCCAAAGTAAACTGAATCCACACATTTCTTAACAATGTTCTTTTTTGAGTGCAGTAAACTATTACATTATGCTTTCTAGTGTTTTCAAACTGCTCTTTGTCGATTTAGGTGGTTGAAGTTTGAAGAAGACGTAGAAGATGGAGGAGAAAGATGGAGCAAGCCATATGTAGCAACTCTTTCCCTGCATAGTTTGTTCGAGTTGAGAAGCTGTATCCTGAATGGCACTGTGCTGCTGGACATGCGGGCTAACACTCTCGAGGAAATTGCAGGTATAGATGGTTCCCCTCTATCCAGCAGAAATTATTAATATCCACAAAACATCCTAATTGACTCTACTGAATAAACTTCATTTTAATGTAACCATTGTTACTCTGGGACAACATTTTTACAAAACCATTATTTTGTTCAATACATGGTCTTTGTTTTCTTCTGAATTACTAGTGCAAACTTCTTTTCCTTTTCAATATAGTTTTTACAGTCTTCCTAATCCATGGAAACCAAACTCTATTGATCTTAATGTTTTTCTGATCCTCTAAGTTTTCTAGAATCAAACTTTTTTTGAAAATACAATCCTCACAAATGATGTATCATTTCTTGACTCTGTGCCTTTGCAATGGTGATTTTCCCATGCTTGAAATACTCTCCCTCCTCACTTCTCACTCCTAGCTTTTCCACGTTTCCTTTCGTACTCAGATCTGCTCCCATCTTCTTTAGGAGGCCTTTCCCAGGCACCTTCCTCATCTTCATTCTTAGATTCCACTTATACTGTATATATCTTATATGTAACTATTTTCATGTTGTCTTCCCCTTATGAGCTCCATAAGAGCAAGAACTGTGGTTTTGCCTTGCTTTGTATCTCTAGAGTTTAGCATAGTTCCTGGCACTTACTAAGCATTTAGGAAATGTATGTATACTGAATGATTAATAGAATAATAGATCTGAAAGTGACCTTAGAGATCATCTAGTCTAGCCACTCATTTGACAAATGAGGAAACTAAGGCAAGGGCCATAAAGATGAAGTAACTATGTAGCAGAGTTGAGATTACAATTCAAGTCTCCTGACTCCCAAGTGATCTTTCCACTAATCCTTCGTGCTGCTTCATGTATTATTTCTGCTAATAATTTTATACTTGCTATTTTTCTATCTTAGAATTGATGAAAACTTGCTTAAAATATTAAGGTTATTTTCCCATATATGAAATAAATGAAATAAAACTGTTTGGAACCAAGTGAAAACTTTCAAAATTTTTTTTAAAAAGACATTGGACTTAAGAGGATGTGAAAATCTATAAGTAAAAGTGATGTGGGTTTTTTTGCATAAATCTATCACTATAGAATTTTAGATGATAGAAATCTCATAAGACATTAAATCTGGGCCTTCCTAAAGCATAAAACTACTCTTCGAAGTTAACAGCGTCTTCATTTGCTAAATCCAATGGCCTTTTCCCCCCAATTATACTTCTTGACCTTTATGTAATTTATTCATTAATGCATCTAGAATTTATTAAGCACCTACATATGACAGGTACCGTGCCAGGTGTTAAGGATGCAGAGACAAAGCCAAAATAGTGTTTGCCCTTGAGGAAGTTATGTAAGGGGAGAAACATCATGAATACAGTTCAGTAAATGCAAATATATGCAAATTAATAAAAAGTAATTTCTGGGGAATAGAGAGCACTAGTTTGATGGAAGGGAAATGAGAGAAAAGATGGAGAAGGACCTTCATGTAGAAGGTTGCATGATCTTTTAGAGAAGCTGTGGATTTTATGAGGAGGAGAGGAGTGGATATATGATAAGCATGGAGGATAGCTTAGCTTGGGTAAAAAGGCACAGAAATGAGAAATGGAATGTTGTGTATAGGGAACAATAAATGGGTCAGTTTGAAAGGAACAGAGAATATAAAATAAGTCAGGAAAGGAGCCATAGACTGATTATGACAGGCTTTAAATGAAAAATAGAGGAGTTTGTGTTTCATCTTAAAACCAATAGAGAACAAGTGAAGCTTCCTGAGCAGGAATGAAACGTAGTCAAATCTCTGGTTTAGGAATAACAGTTTGGCAGCTGTGTGGAAGATGGACTAAAGAGAGGAGAGGCTAGAGGAGAGATGTCAATTAAGAGACTATTGAAATAGGCACGGATACAAGGCATTCTGTGAAGGCAAAACGAACAAGACTTGGCTGGGTGAATATGGAGGACGAGGCAAGAATGACTCCATGGTTGCAAACTCAAGTTATTGAAAGGGTCACAGTGTCCTCCACAGAAACTGAGAAGGTATGAAGAGGGGAATGGTTAAGTGGAAAAGATAATTAGTTCTGTTTTAGAAATACTGAGTTTTGTTGTGGAAGCTGTTGACCACTCCCTTTTCCTACTTAATCTCTTCACTTAGCTTCACTCTTCTTGTTCTCCTACCTGTAAGACTACTCCTCAGTTTCCCTTTCAGAACCATCATCCTTGCCTTGCTCTGTAAATACAAGAGTACAGCGGGACTCTGTCTCACATCTTCTGCTCTCTCTCAGTGATGTTATCAGCTCTCATAGTTTCAATTATCGACTCTTTGTAGATCAGCACAAAAATCTTCATCTCTCTCTTTTTCCAGGCCAGAATCACCAATTGCCTCTGGATATGTCCAAAATATAACTCAGCATCTTCCCCCTAAATAATAGCATCTTCCCCCTAAACCCGTCTCTCTTCTTATCTTCCCTATTTCTGTCAAGGAAATCATCATCCTTTCAGTCCCCAAAAGTGTCATTCTCAACTCTTTATCCTCTCTTTCCTCCCAAATAGAATTATTTGCCAAGTCTACACATCACACATATAAGTTACCTTCTGCTTAATCATAACACAATAACTCTTATTGCTAACCCTCCCTTGGACTATAGCTTCTTAATGCATTTCCTGCCTCCAGGGACTCCCCACTCCATTCTGCCCTCCACACAGCTACTATATTAATAGTCCGAAAGCAGATATTTTTGACCATGTCATTCCCCTGCTCAGGAAGGTTCAGTGACTTCACAATAGCTTCCAGGATAAAATAGAAACACTTTTGATTGGTATTTAAAGCCCTTTTTAATCTAGCTCCAGAATACTTTTCCAATTTTTTTCACATTAATCCCCCTCACACACATACATTCCAGACAGACTAACCCATTCACTAACCCTCTACATTACAGTCCATCTCCCACCTCTGTCTTTGCACAGGTTGTCTATCCCTTCATGCCTAGAACGTTCTCCTTTTTTGTTTTTGCCTCTTCCTTCAAAGCTTACTTAGCTCAGATGTTGCGTCCTATCTGAGCAGTTTGCCCAGTATTCTTCTCTCCCCTGAGAACATGTATCTCACTCAAAACTGGAATGTAAGCTTCTTGAGGGCAGGAGCTGTTGTTTTTGTCTTTTTTTACCACATGGAGCAGCTTAGTAAACTTTTAGTTACTTAGGTCTAATCCCTCCACAAGGCAGCCCTTCAGATGTTTGAAGACAAAAGTTCTGTGTCTTTCCAGGCCAAACATCCTTAGTTCCTTCAGCTAGGCCTGAAAACATCCTAGTTGCCTTCCTCTGGAATGGGTTCTAGTTTGTCAGTGTCCTTTCTAAAATGTTGTATGCAATGCTCTAGATTCATTTAGTACAGCAAAAAAGTACAGTGAGACTACCACCATTCTGACTTTAAATATTTTACTTCTGTTAACATAGTCCAAAATCACATTAGTTTTTTTTCTTGTTAGGTCATACTGCTGACATATTGAGTTTGAATCATTGGGATTCCCAATTCTTTCTTCATATAAATAGCTATCAATATTTGCTCCATCTTTTATGTGTAGACTTGGTTTTTTCAAACTTAAGTCTAGTACTATACTTCTGTCTTTATTAAATATCATAATATTAGATTCAGTTCATCATTTCACCCTGCTTGTACCTTTTTGGAACCAGATTCTGCCAGCCATGAAGTTAGCTTTCCCTCACAGCTTTGTGGGAAATATAGTCATTTCATAGGAAGTCAACATATGCAGTTGCAATGTGTTCAACTACCTAATACTTAGGGCTGCATTTAGAGTTTGTGGCAGTTACTTTATTCTAAAGCTTTTGGGTCAGAATCTCATCATGATGACCCTTTGGGGAGTTACGGTGCCAATCTGCCTGTCTTCTTTCGGGAGCTATCCCAAGAATCTCTTTGTCTGCTATCATGTGCATAGAAGTAGGGAAGACAAATATATTTTGGTCATAAACATATTGAAATGGGTTTTGGCAAAGCAAAAATGGAATAATAAATGGAATTGTTAATAGAATAGAATGAGGGTTGCAGAAGACATTGCCTTTAAGCTCTGCTATTAAGAAAATGAAAATAGTCTGATGAGGAATTTAGTGGGATAGATTTTTAAAATGCTTAAAATGTATGCTTAAATAGTAATACACATTTTTCTCAATATTCTGTTAATGGCAAAATCTTCAGCTGCATTTTTATTCGAGAAAGTTTAAAAATACACTGATAAGATGCAAAAGGAAAAGAGAGTGAGATCATGTTGTAACATTTTTTAAAATGCACATTATTAGATAAATGGTATATCCTTTTTTCAGTTTCTTGGTTCATTTTTTCCCCTTGGAGTGGGGAGGTGGGGAGGTGGGGAGGTGGGGTTAGAGAAGTGAGGGAGAAATTAGGATAACTTGAGAATATCTTCTACTTTGGCCATTAAAAACCTGCTCACCTAGTCTCCTAGGGTGTGCATTTCATAATTAGAGCTAATGAATAACAAATTAGTGGGGAAAGAAATTAATTGTGGAAAAATACCTTGAGCTGCAACATTTTCCAACCTGGTAGTTCAGGAGATTTCCTCCCTTGTGTTTCACCAAGAGTACATAGAAAGATGATGTTTAAAATAACTAGAACCTGGAAGAAGTCCAGATTTAATATACAGCATAGTTTGAAGTGAATACATGAAACAGTAGGGATAGTGCTAAACCACTTCCTGACTAAGAAAATAGTTCATTTAGAGATTGGACAAGTCCACTGGGAGTGCTGGAAGTACAATTGTACAGTCCAGCCCCTTAAGGTGACAATGTCTAGGATGCTGGTGGTGTCGATTAGATATGTTCATATTGTAGTGAATAGTGAAAAAGAGAGTCTGTCAAACTGTTTAACCTTGAAATATCTGGCTTTTGATACATGATTAATTTCCTCTCCCTGCCCAACTTAAAATTTGTGAGATAGATTTTGTATAACCTTCTTTGCCAGGTTCTGAAGAATTCACCCCATGAAGCATCTTTCACAATTTTGCCTAAA